TATTTAGATTTCTATTGGTTTTTTTCTTCGAGCACACACCTTTCAGCTGATTCATGAGAGTTTAAAAGGGGTGGAAGAATTATTCCTGGAAAGGCATTTATGCTGAAAAGAGAAATTTATTTTCAAGGCATTTTTATTTCAACGAAAGTGTGAGTGGCCATTTGAGATCTATACATTTGGTTTATTCATACACACAGTTATGCGCTATGCATTGTTCTTGTTATTTGTTTAGCAGATCATCCCCTCTTTTGCTATACATTATAGTCCCACAATGCAACCTGGCTTTCTCCCCTCTGCCCTGGAGATAATTGAGAAGTAATTCAATTATCTCCCAGGACAAAGGCAAATCACCATTATGCACGTGGGGATACCAATACAGGAATTACTGTTAAAATCCCCCATGTTAGAACAGTTACAGTAAAGATATACATTTAACATATCCTCATGTATAGCATGAACTGTTTAGTAGTAAGTGGCTTTCCTTGTAGGGACAACAGAGGCAGTTCTGGATTTCTAATTTGCTGATTTCTAATAGCTCAGGTCTGAGCGCAAATTATTAAGCGAATGGCGCTCAGACCACACGAATACAGTTCAATCGCCATGGAGCCAAAGTGTTCACAAAGTCAGTTCTCATACGAATGAGCTCCATGGGATTCCTATCTGGGGTATGGTGTAGTCTGGTACAACTATCGAATATAGGGCCGTTTGTGCCCTTTTACCGAACAAGAAGGGAGGTCGGCGGCTTCAGCGGTGTTCGAGCCAAACTGTATCCGTTTTCAGTTCCATGGATTAGGCATCGAACACCGCTGTGCCTTCGCGTGGTTTAAAATGGCCGCGACCTTGTGTTCGGCATACGAAAGGCAGCCACCCAACTACTGTATCAATCAAGAGGTGTCTGCGGTTAACCTCAACGTTCGAATGGGGCCAAGAGGTTAATCAGCAGCACACTTCTCTACTGGGTGGCCGGCAGTTCAGTAGTTTTGTTCGGTCCTAAAAAGGGAACGCCATAGAGTCCACAGGAAGGAGGAAAACGAATTAACCAAACGAACGAGCCATACGGTAAGTTCAGTCCAAGACAGAGGGATCTGTCATAGAATCTACCGAACACTGGGCAGAAAAGGCACGAATAAGCCTTTTCTGCGGGGAAAAAGATGTCTTTTAACATGGGGCCATAATCCAAAGGCAGCAGGCGAGCAACCAGGCTTCTCCATTGCAATGTGGCGAGATTGCTCTCGTCACATCTCTCCCCTTTTCCAAACAGACTAACAGGGTATCTGACCTCCTGCCGGTCAGTGCCCTTGTTAGTCCAGCAGCCCACCCACAACACACAATCCGCAATACAGCCCACCCACAATAAATGGTTACTACACCTGGGTAGAGGAGAAGCTTGTCCATGTTCAGGTGCCTCACCATGGCTGTGTGGGTGACTGGTAGGCTGCTTTGGTGGGTTGCTGAGTGGGCAGAGACCAGCGGTACTCTGCCCTGGTGCCAGCGCTACTGTGGAGGTAGCCTGGTTGAAGCCTGGTTGTTGGAGGGGGGAGACCGACTATCTCCCCTTTAGATACACCGCTGGGCTGCCGAAGGGGGAGACCGACTGTCTCCTCTTTGGCTAAACAGCCCTGTCGCTGGTGGGCAGAACCGACCGTCCCTACCCCTGGTGCTGTACGTGCAGAGACCACGGTCCCATCTGCATGGTTGTGGGGCTTACAGTCTCCCCCTGGTACGTTAAGCTGCCGTTGGGGAGAGAGGGGGTAACAAGCTTCCAGCCGCGGGGGAGGGAGACCGACTGTCTCTGCTCCCAATACAGAGTCCTGCTGCTGGGGAAAGGAGACTGGGCTCTCTATTCCCGCTAGGACACTCTGCAGCTGGGGAATGGAGACTGGGCTCCCAATTCCCAATAAATCCTTCTGCCACTGGGGAATGGAGACTGGGCTCCCAATTCCCAATAATTCACACTGCCGCTGGGGATCTGAGCCGACTACCCAGCATCCATGTAGCTCACCCTGCCACTGGGGAGGGAGGACGCTGCTCTCCTCTCCCTGCAAGGTACACTGCCGCTGGGGGACAGGACCACCTGTCTCTGCGCCCTGTAACTCAGCCTGCCGCTGGGGAATGGAGACTGGGCTCCCAATTCCCTGCATATCACACTGCCGCTGGGGAATGGAGACTGGGCTCCCAATTCCCAATAAATTACACTGCCGCTGGGGAATGGAGACTGGGCTCCCAATTCCCTGCAATTCACTTTGCTGCTGGGGGCAGGAGCAACTATCTCTGCCCCCTGTAACTCAGCCTGCCACTGGGGAATGGAGACTGGGCTCCCTATTCCCTGCATATCACACTGCCACTGGGGAATGGAGACTGGGATCCCAATTCCCTGCAGTACCTGCCGCTGGAGTTCCTCCCAACGTGCCAGCTGACCTTCTCTTTCTGCCCGGTATTGCAGATTCTTGAACACTAGGTTCCTCATAAGCTGCACCGATTTCTCCAGTGGATTGGGTCCGTAGTACTTCAGCCTCAATCCCATCATATTGTCAAACTTTCTCCTTGAGTAGCTGTACTCCACTGCTGGTTCCATCCTGGTGCTGTCAGGGTCGCTGTACTCAGACATGCGTTGCCCTCAATTTGTAAATCCAAGGAAATGGTGTCTCCTGTAGCTGTCCTTCTGGCTGTAGGAACGATCCCGCCGCCTGCCACCAATTGTAACGGACCATTTCAGCACACAATGGGTTAAAACCGTTTAGGCGATCTTCCCCTTCCAGAGATGCAGGCACAGCTACTGTAGAACACCAAACTCCCGAACCGCAAATAAGGGAATGCTCCATTCTCCCGAAATGCATACAATATAGCACTCCAAACTCCTGAACTGGAACCATACGAATAGCTGCTAGCAGACGAATAGGAAAATCACCCAAGCGGCTTACACTCCTAGCAATCAGTCTCTATCAGCATACAGTAAATCCCCCCAAAGACGAGACAAGGCTCCGTGTTAAGGGTCAGGCAGTGGTCGGGTTTAATGAGGGCTATCTGCCCAGTATTTATGCAGGTCTCCCACCAGGTGGACACTCCCCTAGGGGACCAAATGGGAGATGGTGACAAAGGACAGACAATCAGCAATCTAGGACACACAGTCACATTATATTCCCACAATGCATCCTGGCTTCCTCCCCTCTGCCCTGGAGATAATTGAAAAGTAATTCAATTATCTCCCAGGACAAAGGCAAATTGCCATAATGCACGTGGGGATACCAATACAGGAATTACTGTTAAAATCCCCCATGTTAGAACGGTTACAGTAAAGATATACATTTAACATATCCCCATATAGCTCAGGTCTGAGCGTACATTATTAAGTGAATGGCGCTCAGACTACACGAATACAGTTCAATCGCCATGGAGCCAAAGTGTTCACAAAGTCAGTTCTCATACGAATGAGCTCCATGGGATTCCTATCTGGGGTATGGTGTAGTCAGGTACAACTACCGAATATAGGGCCGTTCGTGCCCTTCTACCGAACAAGAAGGGAGGTCGGAGGCTTCATCGGTGGTCGAGCCAAACTGTATCCGTTTTCAGTTCCATGGATTAGGCGTCGAACACCGCTGTGCCTTCGCGTGGTTTAAAATGGCCGCGACCTTGTGTTCGGCATACGAATGGCGGCCACCCAACTACTGTATCAATCAAGAGGTGTCTGTGGTTAACCTCAATGTTCGAATGGGGCCAAGAGGTTAATCAGCAGCACACTTCTCTACTGGGTGGCCGGCAGTTCGGTAGTTTTGTTCGGTCCTAAAAAGGGAACGCCATAGAGTCCACAGGAAGGAGGAAAACGAATTAACCAAATGAACGAGCCATACGGTAAGTTCAGTCCAAGACAGAGGGATCTGTCACAGAATCTACCGAACACTGGGCAGAAAAGGCACGAATAAGCCTTTTCTGCGGGGAAAAAGTTGTCTTTTAACATGGGGCCATAATCCAAAGGCAGCAGGCGAGCAACCAGGTTTCTCCAATGCAATGTGGCGAGATTGCTCTCATCACAATTAGGTTACTGGAATGTATCTGAAAAGGTTGTCTGTAATAAGACGCTGGACTGTTATATTTTAATGTCTGCATGTACTGCTATGTCCTAGAGCATTCGTAAGCTAGCAGCCGAAAGCCGCTAGCATTCATGTATTCGTTTCACAAACAGGAACATTCGTGAAACGAATGAGATACCACCCAGTAGCCCACACACATCCGGCTGTTCGTGAAACGAATGAGATACCCACACACAGAGGGTCGTGTGGCACCCATTAACCGATTGCAACATTGTTGCAATCGGTAGTTAAGGGCTTTCCTAGGTGGCCGTCGTTCGGCTACCGACCACGTGGCAGTCGGCCATCTTGGATGCTTTGTTTCACCAGTGGTGTTTGGTCGTCGAGCGCGTGGAGCTGAAATCGGCTACTTAACGGCGCTAACACCGCTGGGCTTCCAGGCCGTTCGGGAGCTCCGGTCTTTCACTATTCTGGTTCCCCATCAGTGTTTGGTACTTGTAGGCGAACACAATGTTAAAGTGTATTTCGTGCGGAGTTCGGTTATTTATGCTGGTATCTGAGCGGTATTCTCACAAAATGTGCGCTCAGACCCCAGCTATCTACCGAACGTCCATTCGTTTAAATAAAGTGAATGATGGAAAAGTTATATATTTTTATGTGAAATGTTGGTTCTGCTGCACGGAGGGATAATCCACTTAACGGTATATTCCAGTGGGAGTATCCCTCTCGTCCAGCAGTGCCTGATGGGAGAAATGTGCAGATTATTTAGTCCCCCATGTAGTCCCCTACTGTATAACCCCTGCAATGTCAGCATTGCATGGGGACTTGCATAAATACTGTGACTTGTGAATAAAAGCTCAGTTGACTCCCAGAACTGTGTTTCGTCCGGTTACTGGGGGGATTTGGGATATTGCCATACTTTTCAGTGCTTTACTTTGGATTACTTTCTGTACCAGCGGAGATCATGTAATTTAATATTGCAGCTCCGCTACAGTGGAGTTTCAGCTGCAGCACGCAAGGCTCAGTGGCTCTGCACCAGACTTCCCTCCAATTGATCAGAGTTAAAGGATTTCAAGTGTACTCATTACAATTACAGGGCCTCTAAAGAGTCCTGTATTGTTATTTGTCGTCACTACCTTCCCGCGTCGGTAGTGGGTCATTTGCGCGCCTGCTGCCTTCCTTGCATGAGGTAGCTGTTTCTCAGGGTCCCTGTACGGAATGGAACCCTGATTCCCAGTTACCCGTGGTCACCATGGTAGGCGCAGAAACTGGCATCAAAAGTTGATATGGATGACATCTGAATGCAAAGTCGCCGTCACGGGGATGTGCGATTGTCCCGAGGTTGTCTAGAGACAACAAAGTGCCTGCGCAACTATAACGTCAACAGCTACTCTGCGGAACAGAGTTGTCTTTTTTTATATTTCCCAATATTTTGGGGGCTACCATAATTAAAACATATATATATTTGTGTACGGGATTATGGAAGGGGGCGTACACTTAAAGTGAGTGTAGTTTTGATAAATAAGAGTCGGTTGAGGTGTGCCGAAACCGACAAAAGGTTAGGCCTGTAAAAAGAGGGCCAACCCGGATATATTGATATGTAAAGAGGGTGTGGTGGGAGGGGAATTTCCGGAATCGACGAAGGCAGGTAAGCAAGGGGTTTGCTGGGTTTATATAGGCCTTAAATCCCTCCCACAACTTCAGGCATACGCCTTCTATTTCTGTAAGGGATTATGGAAGGGGGCGTACACTTAAAGTGAGTGTAGTTTTGATAAATAAGAGTCGGTTGAGGTGTGCCGAAACCGACGAGAGGTTAGGCCTGTAAAAAGAGGGCCAAAAAGTATGTAAACATGTTTATTTATTACAACAACAACAACAACATTATTTAGACATATTATAGAAAGCGAGTATGATTTCTTTCTCTGGGTTTGGAATGTACCTGTTGTATGCTGAAGATTTCCAGCGACCTATTTCCTTTATGATATGTGTTGGAACCTGAGTACTTGAGGCTGTAGTGGCCGCCCCAATTCGGAATGAATGTCCTGAGAAGGAATTTGGATTGAGGCCGAGTCTAAGTAACAAAGAACGTATGTATAGCATGAACTGTTTAGTAGTAAGTGGCTTTCCTTGTAGGGACAACAGAGGCAGTTCTGGATTTCTAATTTGCTGATTTAATATCAAATTATCCAGCACTTGAAATGGGCACCATTTGGAACTGGTAGGAAAATACTTAATCTCCACTGGGGGGCCTGCTTGGTTTGTTTTTGTGCGGGGGATTGATAGAACGTAATGATTGTTTACTTTGGTTAACTTTCTCTGTTTAAGACAAATGTCAAATGTCAATGTCAGATATTTTTTCTACTGAAAATTCTTTAGGTCTTAGAAACCCGAAAAAGGCCAAATAAGCCGCTGATTTAATTACCCGGTTAGTGGTATATTCAAAAGGACTTTTATCTAATAACCTGGAGATTTATTTAAAGATATTACTGTCTATGGGGAGTCTTTTGAGGGATTTGGGGGTTTTTAGCCTCTGGATACCTTTTAGTATGTTTTTAATTGGGTATGTGGATAAGAAAGGAGTCTTGTTCGGGTAAAGAGTTAGCATGAAATGTTGTATCCCCGTCAAGTATAGTTTGATGGTATTGTAGGCTAGTTTTTTTAACGAGAGGTGGCAAAAAGTTGTGAATGCAACCATAGTTTCTACAGAAAAATGATTTATTATGTTAAAGTCACGAACAAATTTTTTGAACATGTCAAATGCCCTAACATTTTAGGGTTCAATGACAAACCTGCCTGTGCGAGAACTCTACTGTGAGCTAGTAACTGGTTTAACGCATGATTAGGTCTTTGAATTGCGAAGGAGTTTTGGGTTGCTTGTTCGCTGTAGGGTGCAGTCTGAAAAATTCCTGTAAATTAAAACGTGACAAAGCGTCAGCTGTGTTATTGAAAACACCTGGAACATGGATACAATGAATGTAAAACTGCAAATTTGCTGTCAGAATAACACTTAACGGCTTTACCCCTCCAATTTTCTCCCAAAATGTGTGCTGATGCCACTAGTGGGAAGATCTCGAACAATGCTGAGGTTTTGTCAAATTTCTCTAGTGTAACTGTTTCGGGTGGCCAACTGTCATATACCCATTCGTCCCCGAATATTGCAGCGTACCCGACGGTAGCTGCAGCGTCTGTCCAGATAACCGGGGATTAGTCAGAGATGGGGGAAATTAACAATGATCTACCATTCCATGAGGATAAAAATAGATTCCACATTTTTAGGTTGGCCCTTGCAGGATCATCTAGATTAATCTTAGTGTCGCCGTCAGGGAGGCCGTGTAGAAAAGAAAGAGATGAAAGACCTGCCTTGAGGGATAATTCTCATGGCGAAGTTAAGAGAACCCAAAAGTGACTGTAACTCTTTCCTAGTGCATGACCCGTGATTGGTGCAGCTGTGAATGTGAGTTAGAATCCTGTCTACTTTGATTTGAGGGAGGCTAGCTTGCATAGTTACAGAATTGAGTGTGATGCCTAGGAAATTTATTTCTGTACTGGGACCTTCTGTCTTATTTGGAGCTACCGGGACTCCTAATTCCTTAAATAGGGAGAGTGCATTTTTTAGGCTGTGTAGTGTGTAGTAGTGAGGCTCAACATATAGAAAATCATCGAGGTAGTGGATTACTACTGGGCACCTGGACTTGTTAAGTAGTAGCCAATTCAAGGTGTCTGCGAATATGTCGAAAATTTTTGGGCTACTTTTGGAGCAGAAGGTCAGCCTAGTTGCAAAATAGTACTTTTCTTTCCACTTAACGCCATGTAGATGTCAGAGTGACTGCTTAATTGGTAGAACTTTGAAAGCATTTGTGATATCCGTTTTTCTCAACCAGGCTGCCTTACCAAAGTTGACGACGGCTTGTATGGCATCGTCTATTTTTGCATATTGTAGTGAGAAGTCTTCTGAGGGTATAAGGGAATTTAAACTTGGGGAGGTGGAAGAGTGAGGTGCTGAGAAATCGATTATTAAAGTATTTTTGTTATTTAATTTGCCCGTGGCTATACCTAGTGGATTTGTTCTCCAGGAAGTGAAAGGTTGTGTGGTGAAGGGTCCTATCATAAAACCATATTCTACTTCTTTGTTGAGAAGATCTGTTAAACTGGCTGGGTCTGTTATTGCAGACTGTAGGTTGGAGAATTCTAGTATGCCTGAAGGGAGTGCTACTAAACCTGTGTGAAAGCCTCTAGTGAAACCCGAGACGAGAAAGTCAGCCAGCTGGGAAGAAGGATGTTCAGTCAAGTAACGTTGTAAATTGGGTATGTTTATTGGGGTCATTGCTTTCTTAGGGAACAGTTTGTTTGGACACATAGTTTTTGCGTGCACTCTAAAACAGATTGTGCAAACGTGGAGTAATCTACAAGCGCTGTAACTACATCCCCCCGCGTTAAAGTTATTACAAACTTGTGCTTTCCCAAGAAACACTATAGGCCTCCCTAACTTGTCTTTCATTTCCCTCTGATTAGCAAAATAGTCTGGATTGGCTTTACTAGTAGACGGACCACCTATATTACTAGGACAAAAGTTTGCTGTATGAGACGCTGAAGAACATATTGCACATGCTGGTATTTTAAGCCCTGCGAAATGTCTACAGAACAATTCTGTATCCAATTGACTCCAATCAGTGGGAGTGTTGTACTGGGCCAATGATGCGGCTGACCTGGCCGAAAAGGACTTATGGTAGTCGTAGAACGCGTAACCACCATATTTGTAAGCTAATTCCACCAGCTTGTGCAGATATAGATGCAGCTCTCCTCTACGGTGTAGGAAAGAAGAGCAAATTACATCCCTATATAATCCAAAAGCTAACACGAATTCAGGAATATTCAGCTTCTTATTGAGCCTAGGGTCTCTAGCTTTCATTACCACGGATATATCGTCGAAAGTATAAGCTCTGTTTTCGATTATATCCTGAGAGGCAATGAGGAGGGAAGCTAGATTAACACCTTTCCCTTCTAGTATGTCCCGTTTTAGATTTTGTGGAATCAAATGCACTGAGTTAATAATATTAGTTGTTTTGGCAGGAATAGGAGTGGAGTTACCTCCTGAGCTTGTTTTGGGTTGTCCTAGTGGAATTTGTACTTCCGGAATGCTAGTTTGACTAGTGGCTTCCAGGTTATCTAACCTGTTGTTTATAGGAGCTACGGAAGAGGTTATCATACTCCGTAGTTCTGCCAAACTGTTTTGTATTGTACAATCAGAACTAGGTCCCGGTAACTCATCAACGTTTTGGGTGTTTAGTAAATGGAAGAGTTCGGCTTTCCTGGCTGTAGCCGGAAAGGGAATGTTTCTTCTATTCAGTTTGGCTGTGATTTTTGGAACAGTCCAGGATCTGTAGCTGGATGTCGTACTGGACTGTCTTGGCTGAGTGCCAGGCCTGGACGGAGTGCTGGCAAGTGATAGCTCATCGTCTCTTACTGAAGCATTAGACATGCTATGGGCGTGAAAGGAGACGTTCAGGTTAGAATTTTTTTTTTATTGTGTGTGTGCTGGCTGATTAGCTCTGCGGCGAAGCAATTACACTAGGTTGGTGACTGGTGAGGCCCTTCTAGGTGCCAAGCGGCTTGAGAGGCTCTATCTATGAGTTGGCGCGAGGGGATTTCATGGCCACCGAATGTAGTGGCGGGGTGATAGCCTCTCGGTGAGTAGTAATCATAAGATAGAATGGGGGTGACAGGTGAGGCCCTCTCTATACCACGTGCGAGGCGGCTAACTATGATTTGGCCCGAGGGGCGTAGTATCTCCGACTTGAGGATGGGTGTTGGCCTTGTGGGACCACTAACTTAAGGCAAGTGGCTGGGATGAAATTATCGCTATTGGGCTCCTAAGACCTTGACAGCCAGCCACCTAAACTGTGAGGGACGATACATGCGAGACTGAAAACAAAATAAACCAATGAAAATAAATTTAAAATTGCTCGCTAGCCTTACCTGTATGTGAACTTGAAACACGTACTTGAGATGCCCTAAGGAGTTATTTGTGAAGTTGTTTGGCAGGGCGGTTTTACCCAAGCTGAAGCCCCTATTTGCGAAAAACGGAAGAAGGAGTAACGGTGTGAAAAGAAAAGAGAGAAATCGGTAGCAGATTATTACTCAAGGTTGGTCCATGTATAAATAAGATCGGCTAATGCTATTTGAATTCCGTTTATTATAAGAACATTTTTTTGTTTTGTTTTTTTAAGAAAGGAATTTTACTAACCGGACCATAAACGTGTAATTCTGCGTAATTGGTAGTAGCGTATGTTGAAATTAATCCCTAGAAAGGAAAGAAGAGTAATTCTGCAAGTAAATCTCAATAGGTAAATATGAGAAACAAATTAACACTTTTTTAATTTTATTTTTATGAGAGGATATACCCAGGATAAAACATAAATGAAACATGAGCCATTGATTACTTAGGTCTGAAATTAACTAATAAAGCATTCAAACGAAATTGAAAGACTAACATTAATCTTGTTGCAGTAATGGTACATAATAGACCTATGACTATAATTGCCTGACATGTTGCTTTAACAAACAAATTAAATAAAC